ACAGTTGAAGGTGGAGTACCCAGGTGCACATTTATTTCTAGACCATATGTATCATTTTCCCATCAAAGTATTTAATTATGTTTATTTTAATACTATATGATTTTTAGAATTGTTATTGGAATTTTTTTAAATCTCTAAATATTTTATTTATCAAATTTGGATTAGTAAAACTAGAGATATTGATTTTATATTGATTTAAATATTCAACTATGATTTTATGAATTTTTAAAAATAATATTATTTTAAATATTGCATGGAAGGCCAAAAGGCTTTATTGGCACACCATGACAATTTGGGTGGGGCCATTATGTGCCACTTAAGCCTTGAGGAAGTTTTGAAATAAATTTTGGTATGTATAAGAAGGCTTATTCATAAAATAAGAAATGATAATATTAACATGTATTAATTTCTTGTTTGAATTAACTGATGAGAAAATAATTTATGAAGTGGGGGATAATGGTTCTAGCACCTTCCATATAACCCCTTAAAGTACTATAAAAAAAAGATGGACCCTACTCAATATTCTCTACACCATTTCTCTTACACTTAAAATCTCTCTCTTCTCTCACCTATAGAAAAAGGAACAGGTTCATGTTTAATTGGTTTGACTTGACCTTGTTGGGTTTGGTGGTAGCTAAATCACCATACCGATACTTTCTTCTAAAGATTAGGGTACTATAGGAAATAGAAAATTGGCTTTCTTGGGAAGCAAGAAAGTGATATCTTTGTAAGAGAGTAAATGAGGACATAATACCCATCTTTTGAGGGTCACCCCTTTGGGGGTTATGGAAATGGATCTCCAATATGGAGATGGGTGTCCAAGAGAGAGAGAGACGGTATTCCCATGAGTTTTGGATTGGTTAATTTCTACTTCTAGAGAGAGAAAATCTCTATGTTGCTCTCAAGGTTATCTTTCCGGTAGCAGTATTGCGGTGGGAAAGAAGTTGATCGACGGTGTTGCTCGGTCGGAAGAGCGGGTTTAGAAGGGAAGGTGATGGTTTTTTACCTATATTTAGAGATAGGTAGTATCTCTTGTAACCAAAAACTGTAAACTTCATTGTGATAGTGGATTTCTAATTGCCTAGGCTGCGGATGTAGCCCTACGAGGTGAACCACGTAAATTGTATGTTGTTGTGGTGTGCTTTTTATATTTACTTTATTTCTCGCACTCGATTTATAGTTGTATTCATCTATTTCACATTTGGCCAATTGAGTACACGATCATGGGTGGAATCCCGATACTTGGGATTCCCGGTTCCAGAAGCTAAGGGGTTCTCGAGATCCCTACAGGCATAAACTTGCTTCCCTGTTGAAATTGAAGGTTGACTATTGATTCCGCGCTATCGGAAGGTGTTGACTCGGTGTGGGGTGTAAGAAGGCCGGTTGAGGTAATCTCCGACTATCTCTTTTGTTAATTTCATATTTATTTATTTTCTTTTTTATTCCCAAGCATAGATTGTGTCTTTTCTTTGTTATTGAAAGAAAAACTTCGAAGGACTTCTATTCTAGTTGTATTCTTTTCTTTTTTTTTAATTGAAATTTTTTTTTAAAAAAAAGGTTACTTGTAAGTGATTTAAACGGACCCCCAAAAACCATGCTCTATCCACAATCAAGGTTTTAAAATTCATCGCCAACCACATTAGGCAGGAAACATAGTGCATAAGGGTTAGGGCCTAAGCCACATGACCTAGCTCGAGGTTAGGCCTGGCCAGGCCATGATAGAGTTGGCCTTATCCATTGTTGTATTTTCCTTATTAAGCCATGCCCGGCACATGCTGGAACCATGAAAGCCTGGGCTAATCCAGGGCCCGACCCGAGGTGGGTCTGTCCAATAGAGATTAGGCTGGGTTCGGGTCAGGACTCTTAGGCCCAGCCTCTTGTCAGCCTAGTTACATAATTTGTGGTCCAAGGCATGAAGAAAGAAAGTCTTTTTGACTTTGTGCAATGGCAGATTAGATGTTACATAATTAGTGTGTGTTTTTGCACATGTGTGTTTTTACTTTGTGGAATGCACGTGCCATTTGTAGAGAGATGCTAATTTTAGATTTGAAGAACTTTTAAGGGTTTAGCTAGTTCCATAGGATTCGAACATTCTAACTAATTAACTATACACCTCTCTCTCACAGGAATATCATGCATAATTCTAAGATTTATTTACCATTTATGTAATCAGATTCTACGCTAATACACCACACAATATAGCCATATTAAGCAAGTGGCTTATAGAGAAAATCCATCAGTAGCTGCTCCAATCCTCGATCGGTCATGCTGTTAAAGTCATCCGAGTTCTTGTAAATGAGAGCCCATGGTTCTTCCAAAGTTTATAAGTGCACGAAGAATCGAGTCAGGCACAACTCCTTTAAACTCAAACAGTTGCCATTCCAATTCTCGATTGCTGGATTCGATCAAACCCTGCAAATGAGCCATGGCTTCGGCTTTGGTTCTCCCGGGGTGATCTTTCATGAAGCATCCAATGCTTGATGCCATCTTGCCTAAATGCTCTTCCCTCTCTGAGGTGACAATGTCATTGCTAAGTCGGCTAATGAGTCCAATGTGATAGAGAAATCTTGAGCATTGACCCACCAACCGTAGTATCTCATCGGAAATGACTTCTCCTATGATGAATATCGGACTCAAGGCGGTGGCTCTTCCCTCTCCGAGGTGACAATGTCATTGGTAAGTCGGCTATTGAGTCCAATGTGATAGAGAAATCTTGAGCATTGACCCACCAACCGTAGCATCTCGTCTGAAATGACTTCTCCTATGATGAATAACGGACTCAAGGCGGTGACGCTGGTAGAAACGCTAAGGTTAGCCACCATTTGATACTCCTCCAAGGAGGGTATGCACCCTGAATGCCTCCATTCTGCTTCCTTTCCATGCAGTGACGCCAATTCCTCCCACTCATAAGAATGAAAGAAAGAAAGCAAATACAGTTCTAGCTATGTTTTGCGGTCTAAAAAACAAACATGAATCAAATGAAGCAAAATGTATCTCAACATGAAAATGTCTTTGTTCTTTGAATCTCATTGTTCCCTAATGCTGGACAAACATGCTAAACACTACCTTTGGAGTGTGTTTCTGGTACCTTTACTCCATAAGGAAATAAGCTCCATAATTAGGAGAATACACATTGAAGTACATCTGATCATAGTGACCCATAAATGCTATAAAACTATCTAGCTGTTTGGTGAATTCTCCAGGAATGTTCAGTTCCAACATAAAGATTATAGTTGAATAGTAAATGTCATCAAGTATTAAATTTAAAAAATTGAATGGTCATGTTTGTTATATTTGTAGAATTTAAAAAATGAACACATTTTTTCGGATTCTGGGTCTTTCAGAAGGAAAATGAGCTCAGCATAGAACGTTATACCATGCATTAGATATAGTGTTTGTACAAGCTTTTAAACAAACTCTTTTCAATAATAATTCTTATGTGCATTTTAGTAATCTAAAATGTTTATTGCAGTAGAATTGGGACAAAACCTAGTGATCTTTGATAAGTTTTCTGCAAATCACCAAGTGAATGCTCGAATAAGTAGGACACCTTCATCTACGATCCATCTTTTCTGATTCACCAATCAAGTAGTCTAGTTTTTTGTTTCCATAGAGAGGGAGAGGGACATTCTCCGGGATGGGATCTCAAAAATCTATTATCCATCTTTTCTAATTCACCCTCGTGGAGTTTGAAACAGAAATGGTATTCTGTTTCGAAAGTTATAAACATCCATCTTCTCCTTTATAAACATCACAATACCTTGAAGATTTCTTCAATGAGGACATCTCATGCCTCTGTATCCAAGTGAAGCACAAGTTACATTTATTCTTGTTTCTCTATATTTGCATGTTGTTCTGTTTAAGAATAGAAGTTTTTTGTCTTGCTAAAATTCTCATCATGGTTTACGACAATCTTGCAATGGTTAATACAATTCTGATTGTAGTTAACCTTGGAGCTTGATGCCCATTGATCTTTGTTATTAGTTTCATTCCTTTTAGCTGCTTCACGCAATGCTGAAACAATTATACCTGTTAAATGTTTTGACCATCCTTACTGGTTTTCGTTGTCATTAACCGTTTTAACCACCAATAATAATTTTTACCATCATTATCTATTTCATCACTGTTAGCTGTTTTCACTCACATCAACAATTTCCATGGTTGTTAAGTGTTTTCACCGCCATTAATGTTTTCACTGCCATTTAACAATTTTCACCATGGTTAATGGTTGAACTAAGTTCTCCGTGTGGATAATTTGGGAGCTTTAAAGATCTTCCTGTTAGCTCTTGTTATATTGATTGTTTTAGGTAACTATTTAGCTTAGAAACTAATTTCATTAGCTTTGAAGCTAAGAAATCCTTCGTTCTGACTTTTGAGATTACAAAACCAACAAAATAAGTGAAGATAGAATATTTGCAGTGTGGAACAAGGGTATGTATTTGTTATGTGCAAAAGCCTAAATGCTTGTAGTGGTGCTTTATTTGTATCTGTGCCTATGCATCTTACCAATACGAGCATGCATGAGCAAGTAGCCATGCATAACTGTGCATCTGTGTATGTTTGTGTGTGTGTCTGTTTGTCAGCACTATTATTTCTAAAATGATTATGATATAGAGTCAAGTTGTTGTTTTGCTTGAGTAAATATAATTACTGCTCCTCTTATTAAGTGAATGACATTGCACCCTTGTACTGTGCGTGATTCTTCAGCGACATTAGTAATTGCTGCATTGAGGCCGTCGAAGAAAACATGCATATGTTTTGGTAGACCGCAGAGAATTGAAGGATCCCATCTAATGTCCAAAAACAAGGAGAAGAATAAGTACAGATAAGCAATGTAAAGACATAAAATATGAGTTTAACCTTCAGTATTAATTCATTGTATTTTGATTGAGATATTTCTTTCTTTACAGAAGAAGAAGAATTTGTATTTCACATTGTCAAATAGTTAGTCCAAAAAGTGTTTTTCATGAAGACGGATATTGCTACTTTGTAGTTTGTATGTGCCTGCAACCATTTTCTGCTCTTCCTATCCAAAACATGCATGAAATTATCAATTGGATAGGCTGAAAATCCACACTTAGGCGTCGGTTTTTACAACATAAACATGAGGAGAATCAACAATTCCCTTTCAACAATAAACTATGGCTTTTTAAGTGGTTATCTACTACATTTCTATTCACTTTTGTATTAGTGTGGTAAATCTAAAAGGACTATCTGGTTATAATCAAGTAAAGAATGAGTAAGATTTTGATTGGTTTATTTATTTATGAAGTCCCAATTGCTACTGGATTTGGAAATAAAAAAAAATTCCCACTAATTTTTTGGTGAGCAACTTGCCAATTGATATGAATTAAGATAGAAATACTAGTTAAAAATAGTTATAAATATAATAATTAAAACATAGTTAGAATTTTATCTAGTACTCTGCTGTAGACAGCCTTATATTGATGATGCCTGAATACTAAATTCCCTATAATATGGGGTAAGCTGCCAACTATCCATCCAATCTACGAGACAATGGTCGATCGAGGTCAGCCATTGTTTCTTGGTAGAATTTTGGTTAATTACCAGCATCTGTTGGTTAATTACCAGCATCCGTTGATAAGCTCAAGGTGGTTTGCCAGTCCGAGGACCCCAAACAACAGTCATAGAGAGTGTATATTCCTATATTGATTAGGAATATAGCCAAGTGTTAGTATAATGTTGTACCTATGGATGGCCTTAGTTAAGAGCCTCAAATCTTCAGGGCAGTTGCTTTCGAGGTCGTAGATGTCGTCCATAAGAGCAGCCATCATCCCAAATTTCGTGTACTCGACCTGGAAATTTTTGTATTCTGGTTCATATACGGCAGCAGCTACAGTGAAATAACTCTTCACAACCCCTTGTCTTGCAAATTCAATCTTCGTAAAGCCCGCGTCTTCCCACCAACTTCATCGAATTGAGAAACAAACAAATTTATCATCATCATAGCCTTGTCCCAATTAATCGGGGTCAGCTAAACAAACAAATTAAAACACAAAGTTGTTGCTTTAGGAATAAACTAGTTGCATAATGGATAGGTTAAGTAAGAACCCAAGAAAATGTATGACATATAAGTAAGAGGGATATATTTGGATACTTGTGTTAGGGTGTATGAGATATAAGTAAGATGGAGATATTTGGATACTTGTGTTAGGGAATAGAGCCTTAACACTATGTTCCTAGTTTCCATTCAACACTATCACCAAAAGAGATGAAAAATCACAAAATTGGAATACCTAACTACTTCTTGGATCTCTTCTGCGTAGAGCTTTTGTAGAGAATTCAAGTCAAGTCTTGCTAACTCCAAGTACTTGTAATTGCTCTCATCACCAGGCCACAATTGTTCAACAATGCTTCTAGACTCCAATCTTGAAAGAAGGTATTCCCTTGGGTATGCTAGGGAAAATTCTATCTGTTCAAATTGTAAAGAAAAGCAGAAACATTGAGAGGAAAACTTAACTGAAGCAACAAAATATATGATTTATGCAAGGAAAATGTTTTGATAGGGCTGCAGCCCTATCAAAATAAATAAACGTATTATTAAAAATTGCAGTTTTAGCATCGGAAAACCATCAAATCAATCATCTCGGCCTTGATCATTTTGGTTGTGAAAAAAAAAAGATTTCAAGCCCTAAAAGTAATGTATATTATAATATATTATCTGGACCATCCATTTCACTCTAAAAATAAGTGTCTCGGGATCCATATAATTTGTACATGTTTTTAACTTCAAATTTCATAATTGGTGTTGAGAATTAATTTTAGAGTCATCATGGAGATTTGTGATGCCTAAAGTACTTTATGGACAAAGATTCAAGGCGAGGCTTTACTTTGTTTTAATAAAGTTTAGGCCTTATAGAAGCTTCATCCTTTATGTAATGAGTAATAAATGGCCCTTGTTTTAAAGCCTATGCAATGAATGACCCTTTCCTAAGATGAAAAAGAAGTATGTCATTATAGTGCATACCCATCCTTAAATTCTAGTGGGTTTGGGCTCTAGGCTTTGTTTTTATGACCCCCAACACAATAACCAATGCAACCCTAGATTACCTCCCAGGAAAAATAAACCCTCTGCAGATCTTGAATTTCTAAGCTATTCTATAACAATGCATGAGAAAAAAAAATCTAGAAAACTTCTCCAAAAAAGAAATCTTTGGCAAATCTCAAATTTCTAAGCTATTCTCTACGTATTTCTATAGAACTTCATTTTTATTTATGAGAACTGATTTTATTGTGCTTGACATAGAATTGAATTATCTTAATTACCTTCTAAAGAGTTAATAAGAAAATATGTAATATTTCTCAGGAAAAAACAAATGCAATATTACTATGTAATGTTCAACAAGGAAGTTAGGTATGTAGATTGCATTTGTAGCCAATGGTCCACATGACTAGCCTAACATTGTCCTTCCTCATCTATAGATGGTGGAGATGAGCTTTTTTGCTTTTAAGTGCCGAAGGAGAACAATGGCATCATCTCAACCGTTTACTAATACGAGTATAGAGAATGTATACTTCGCTCATGCATACCCCTTAGGCAAATGACTGGAGAGTAAGTATTTTTTTATCTAAAAACTTGGGATCCACCGTAGAATGGAAAAAGCTAACAAAAACTTGACAGCTATGATGACTAATAATATAGATGGAATGCCTGACGTCAGATCTTCATTAGGTAGATTAAAATAAATATCACTATTTAAATTTTAATCTTATTTTTAGAAATTGGATCGTAATGAATATAAAAAAAATAGTTTTTAAAATATAAAATGACCAAAAATTCCTTGAAAAATGGACGTAACTTTGGTCGTTTTAAATACTTAAATGTATTTTTTTAATATTTTTATATGGTGCG